ATCTTCATTAATGGGACACACTTTCATCTCCACACCTTCTTGTCAGCAATTTGAGAAATGTATGAATGTGTGGTAATCCAGAGCACTGATGAGGCTGATTTTGCAATGGAGTACAAGGTGCTTTCCAAGGTGCTCACAAAGCACGTTGTTGAGTTACCAATTGGGGAGATTCTGTTCTGCTTGTATGCTGATCTGACACTTAGTCCTCCCATACCCGACTTCACTATTATTCACAATGGCCAGAATTTCTTATGGATTAACTGTTTCTGTCAGACTTAAGTGGGTTTGCTTTAGCAGGGTTGTTTAGGTTTTATAACACAAGTTAAATTGCATTTGATTCACTGTTTCATAGTTACATTCATTGTTTATTTCCTGTGACCATTTCCCCTCTCTCCCTATTTGCCTCCCCATCTGCTGCTTTCTCTCTTTCTCTTGTGCCCCTTTCTTATCATCTTGTCATTGTCTTTATATCCCATGGCCTCTTTCTCACTGTCTATACCTTCTTTCTTTTCTATTTCTTGTGTGTCCCTGCCAAGTCCTTGTTGTTTTCAACTGCCTATGTTCCTTGGAGTCCATGTGTGTGCCAGTGAATTGTTTGTATGCTGGTAAAATCAGAGAAACAGGACTTACCGACTCAAAATCTTGATTTTGAAAGTTTGAACTTAGAGAAAAATCAATTGGCCAGAGATCACATGACAAAGGGTCTGTCAATCAGTCAATCAGTCACTCACTGAATGGTTGACCAGTTTAAGGTTTCCCTTGGAATGACGGGGTTGCTCCAGTGACAAATACAGTATTCTACTGACACTTGTGTCAACGTGTTGCAGTGCTTGAGTTTCACACCATATGACCTCGACAAGGACTCAAACAAACAAGTAACAGGCCTAGCTATGTACTTACAGATAGTTGTTATGTTTTCATTTTGAAATCCTAAGTTGGACTAATTTTTTGTTTGAGATATTACTGTTTTGTGACTACTTTTTTGCTAACCACTTGAAACAGTTGTGTGAACCCTTAAAAATCATACATAGCACTACTATTTGTATTGTTGGGGTTCTGTCACAATCCCTTACTTCTCACACTCCTATCTCGACTGATAACGAATCTATCATATCTATTATCTCTCCAAATCTTATCTAATCATAAGTCACATGATCAACACGTGACCTATGACATAGTCACTTACAAAGACAATTACCAAGCACCTCATGCCTTACGCATATCGCTCAGTCAGCGCCTTATTTATAACACATGTTCTCCAGTATATATACAGCTACCTCTTGTACATATTCCCCAGCTGTTGATTACATCTTTATTCACTGTGATAGACCCTTGCTTGCGATTAGAACTTCTGACTCTCCGTTTGTTCAGTGAAAGAGTTGGATCTTCACAGGTTCCAGTGTACATCTACAATAACATTGGTTTCTTATTAGTTGCCCAAAATGTCCCTTTTGTGCTTATATATCCTTGCAGAGTGCCCAGTTTGAAGGCACAGATTTACTGACCTACCCAGTCAAACTCAGCTTGTAGTTTGAAATATTTTTCAACCTCTGCCTTGAAGTCATTCCAAGTTGGCCATATACACAAGGTGTAGCACTCCTGGAGTCGTATTTGGGTGTATTAACCTGCCACAGCTCCTTTGAGTCTTGATAGCACAGCTGTCACTGTTTTGAAATTATTCTGGAAGGTGTTCTAGTTCACCTTAATTCAGATTTGGACTTTGATCCACCATTCAGCAAATTTAACCCTATTTCTGTCAAAAGTGCTAGGGTCAGTGACAATTTTGACTTTTTTGTTGAATTTTTACTCAATAGGGGGTTTGCCCAGAGCTTGTTGAGCTATGCTGTTAACACTGTGATTTTCTTGTAAAGGACAGCATTGACATTCATGGTTTGTTCTTGTGCCGACATAACAACTTGTTTGGTTTGGTGATGTAAAGTAAAAAAAATATAACTGGGGGTCCCCACTTGCTATCTGTGGATCTACCTCCTCCCAGCTGAGTATTGGATCTCAATCTCAGATTACCCACACTATAGTATTTGAAATTTATAAAAATGTAAACTTAATAAACTCTGGTCCGCTTGTTAACCTGTTAACCCTTCTCCATTTGGCGGAGGCAGGTGCCCGGCCTGGTCAGAGGAAACTGTAAAAGAAGTTTTGTATGTAAATGCTAATCAACAGTGATTCCATACAGACTACTGAGCTAAGTACTCCCCTTAACACTAGGGGCCATGTATTGTTTGTTCCTTGATTCTTTCTAGTACCTTTTCCTAAAGAACTCTATAGGATTGGAGCACACACTTTGTTTCCTCTGGCTAGCAAATGCTCAACACCAGTTGGGATTGTAAGCAGATGGGTGATCACAAAATCATCAATTTTGATACTTTGAAGAAAGCAAATCCATGTAGTGTGTGTGCCCTTTGAAACTACTGTCAGAATAATAAATAAATGTAGAACAATTAGACTTACTTCTGATAAGGTATTTTAGATAACTGTTGTGATCTCTTATTCACCATTAAAAAGATCCAACCCATTTAGCCTTAAGAGGACCTTATAAAGAGTGCTAGACAAGTCAAGTGCCTTTTGCATAAATAACTTATAGCATGCTTTTTGCAAGTGGAGTCACCATCTGTAGAAAAAACAATCAAGGATTATTTGGATGTGTTGAGCAGCCATAACAGCATTCTCTATCTTGCAAGTTGGTGAAACAACAACTGGTTAAGGGATTATATGGGTCTAGTAGAATTGCAATTATAGCAGGAGTTGTTGCTTCCTTGCCATAGTGGCAGGTAGGGCTATCTCCATAAACTGCATCTGAAATATTGGGAAGTGAACTGAAGTCAAAAATCTTGAGATCAACTATTGGAGCATGATCACAATAAAGGCCCTTAACTACATTTGTTACTTTGCTAAAGACATTTGTGATGTTTGTGTCCATATCAGACACTTTGATATTTTATATGCTGGGGACCAGGCAGTGGAATATTGTATTGAGGTGACCAACCTGAGGCCAAGTGCACAGCTTATTGAATATGCAAGCTTGTGACCACGTAGTACAAGTATAAGGTGCCTAAAGTCATTGTCTGTTTTAGTGTGTCCCTATGCTCAATACAGATTTTCTGCTACAAGTTCAATCCATTCTATGGATACTAACTCCTTTGTATAGTGCAGTCCCAATGAGTTGCTGGAGGCATAGGACATTTTTCTCTGTAAATGCCATCACACACAAAGTGCTTGCATCCATCCAGGTAAGGCACCATCTTACTAATCTTGCAGCTGTGATTTAGAGCCTATAAATTGATTTGTGAACTTAAGTTGCTCAAATTCAAAGGGATTATTGCTTACCTTCAAATAAAATATACTGAGTTACTTGTTGTATGTTCCCAGAAAATTGCAAAGTTGTCAGTGCATGAAAAACCTATATAGAGTATGTAGTAGAGCTGCACAATCATATTTTTCTATTTTTTGATAGGACCCCTGTATTACAACTAAAGTTATAACAGAGAAAACCCAAAAGTCCTGTAAGCCCTCAGCGCTGTTAATAGGGTAGGAATGAGCTTTTTGGTGTTCAACAGGAGAACTTGCTGAAGAGCCTCCAATCTATTGGTGGGTATATATACTACTATATATACTACTACAGGTTGTCTGTACATGTACTAATACAGTTAATAGATAGTGGTGGCTGATGATGTCCTAGGGCACAGCCCTGTGATTAGCTCCACCACATGAGAGTTGTAACTAAAAATGCTGTGCAGTGATATAAGTGAAAATTAGGAAAGTGCCACGTAGCATAAAGGTCCAAAATTCAGACTGAGAAATATAGTTCAAAGAGGAGAATGAAAATTAGTGGCTGAAAATTGTGTATTATAGCACTACCATCCTTCTATGGCATAACTTCCAGGCAAGACCCGATTCCAAAGGAAGTAGTTAAATTTTCACACACAGGTTAAAAAATATAATTAAAAAGACTTAAATCCATGCCTGTAAGCCAAACAAATCTTGCAAACAGTATTATAGGAGTTTACCAGATGGGCTTCTGGTTTTCATGTTTTATCCTTGTCTCCATAGCCTTTACAGAGGATCAGGAACTCTAATTTTCCATTTTTGTCACTTACCTATGTGGTTACAATTAATCTGGGCTAATCTATGCACTATCCAGGCAGTGGCCCTTTTTGGCCTTTGAGCATCTATGCTCTTCCCTATCTTTTATCTGCTTAGCAGTTCTAAAGTGCATTTTGCATGTTTCCTCCAGTACAGACTTCATTTTTGTGGCCATGGTTCTGCAGCCTTGTTTTTGCTTTTTCCAGGTCCTTACACCCATTCTTGGTAGATATGACCTTATGACCTCAAATGATGCCTTGCCTGTAGCTGATGACTGTTTTACATTATATGAGGCCTAGGCTATGAGCCTTGTCTTAAGTAAGGCCCTTTTGCAGGAGCCTTACATTTGGTGCAAATAAATGCTGTTCTGAATGCTCAAATGCCCAGCTTGGTGTGGCATCATAGGTTTATGTTGGCACAGAATGGCATTTTCACCAAAGTGAGACAATCTGAAAAATAAAGAAGACATAATCATACACTTCTATATCCTCTGTATATATGCCCCCTAATGTTAATAATCCAACCACCTTCTCTAATTAGTTCAGTTACTTGTCACTTGAAGGCCAAACTACTATCAAAGGCATAATAGATACTTGGATGCCCCAATGAAGGAATGGGCCTGGTCCACTCTGAATAAATAGCTGGTTTTATTCTGGCATTTCACAGCTATTAGTAAATTTACTATAAATCTATACTTTTAGGGTTTGACAAATATGTCCTGCTCCTGTAAATGCCAAAAGACTTCTTGTACAACCCTGTTATGATGAGTCTTATTGTCCAACTTTGTAAGTATTAAGACATTGTCTATATAAGTAACCACATGACAAAACCGGATAAACCCGGTCTCTGCCGAAGCGGCCATTGTTAATTCCAACTGTGTTACAACAAAGTTATTCACTATGCTCCTTGGAACCGACTGGATAAATGATAAAATCATGGATATGATGATGGAGGAGCTGACCTACTACATCTTGGACACATCTGAGTCATCACCATCTATCATTGGAAGCACATCTTTTGCAAGAGCAATCAACGCAACAGGTGGAATGACCAGGCTATGAAAACCAAATATACAGCTGTGTTGAAACATTATAAGATGCATATGAGAGATACACCATCTTGCTGTTTTTACTTTCCAGTGTTCACTAATGAGAATCACTGGATTGTCATGTTTATTGATGTAAGCAGGAAATCCATTGGTTACGGTTACTTATGAGTTATCCTTTCTAAAAGCCAACTACTTACTACTGGACTGTATAGGTGACTCACTGGCAGGAAAAATGCTAGCTCCAAAAAAATTCATCCGTTTTGTGCAAAAATGGGCCAGTACTTGCTTTGGGCAGTGTTTTGTGGACTTGAAGAATATTCTGTGGCATGGGCAGCAAGAAGATGGCTATTCATGTGGTATATGCACTGCCAACACCATTTCTCATCCAGTATTTGGTGTCAAGTTATGGCATGAGGATAGCCGGTCAAATGAGCAAATTGAATAGTTTTGTGCACTAGTATAAAGACACATTGATAAGGTAGGTATAGACATAAAGACTTCATACCATTATTTATTGTACTCCATAGGACACTTGGAGTGGCATAGCTGAAGTTCTATGTATCAAAGCTGCTGACACAACATTATCTGCACACTTGTTAGGCTTCATCCTAAATGAACATCCAAATGCTATAAAGCAACCATTCAGCTGCATGCCATGTCCTGATGAAGGCATAGCAGGCACTATTTGTGACTATAATGCCTCACCAAAATAACAGCTTGCAGCTCCAAAATGATGAGTTACTGGAAAGTCATATCAGCATGGAAAACAAGGCTCAAACTGACGCAGAAGGGTTCAGAAAGCCACTACATAGCACCCTTCAAAGATGGCTAGTGAAAAAGGATAGTCACAATGCAAGAAAATAATCCTGGAGTCAAGCAAAATTTGTCTTGAATGACTCACACTTGGACAATAAGGCTGTGAAGAAGCCTTATCAATTTTTGGATACAAAGGACAAGATTGAAAGCTCAAGCCCAGGTATGAGCCGGCTGGTGAAAAAACAAAATCCTTGAAAGGGACCAAAGTGCAGGATTTTATTATAAAGACTGTAGAGAGGTTCATCACTTGGTTCATTCACAGCAAGCATAAACAACTTTTGTTACACTCATAATTGATGAAAAAGTCTGAAAGTAGGTAAAATATTTAACTGCATTTTGGACCTACAAAATGGTGTCTTTTTGTTGACATATTTCCATTAATACTATATTTTGTGTGGATATGTAAAAATATGTTAACAAAAATACATTATTCTGATAAAGTCTTGTAGGTCCAAAATGCAATGAAACATTTTAACTACTTTCAGACATTTTCATTGATTTTGGGTGTGACAAAAGTTGGTTATGTTTGCTGTGATTGCAAAACATCATGGCAAAATATGCATACAATGTTACAAGATTCACCACCCCCATAAATAATGGCTGTCAAAAGCATACAGCTGTGGCAGGAAACTTTACAGTTGATTGCTGGAGTGAGAAATTCTCATGGACACCAATCATTAATCTCGCCTTATCTCAGCAGGCACCCACTATCCAGTAACAGTATCCTTGTGTTGAACTGGCTTTATAGGTGGTGGTGTTAGATCAATCACAATTACTTCAGATGAGCGTTTTGGGAAAGTGTTCAGCAAACTCACAGGCAAACACAAGAAAGAAGTTTGAGACACTCAATACCACAAGCACACTTGGAAGAATGATCACCAAAACAAAAGGATATTTTCAACTCAATGCCAACATTTTATCGCTTGTAGTAATGGTACCACAAATAGACTCAAAATTTCCTGTCACCAATGCACTACTCTGCTTTTTGACCATGGCTTCAGGCAAGCCACCAAGTGCAAGCAACTAGAAGATGTAAATTATTGCCATGAAAATTATTCGTGCTGGAATCCCATTCTGGGAAAACTATATGTGTGCTTCTTGGGCTTGAAAGAAATTATAGAGACATCAGTATGTTATTTTCTCTGTATACATCTTGTTCTGTCTTAATACTGTATTTAAGTACCATAGGATGCAATGAATACCCCATGTGTGAAGTATGCAGTTGGGGTTCTAAGTGGAAAACATAAGGGGCTTGGCATTTTTAATGGGCTAATAGAAGCAACAATGAGCAGGCTTTCACATGAGGAAAGAGGAGTAGAAATGCAAAACTTCGAGTATTCTCCTGCCTTCAATGAATTCTTTCATATTCTTGGCATCTATAGCCCTCAAGCCTAACAATTCTTCTCAAAACATTTACCAGCATGAACCATGCAAAGCTACATCATGAAATGATCACAACAGCCTCAACTTCCCACAACCATACATGAGTAAACATTTCAACTCGCAAGTAAACACCTTGCTACCTTAAGCTACGATGGACCAACTACATTGAGCTATAATGAGACAAAGCTCTTTGCGTGTTGGCATTTATACTGGGATGCGGAAAACACCCTTTACACATTGTGGATCCGAATGGGCTAAGGGAGATAATATTAAGCCAATCATTAGAAAAGGCAACAAAGGTACAAAATAAATAAAACCTCCTGTACAATACATTTATCATAATAGCATGTAGGTATGACTATTTTGTCTACAAGTGCTATTACCAAAGGTGGCCCCAATAATTGTTGCAGCTTTAGCTGTTCCTGACAATTTGAACGCTAAAAAGCTTCTTGTTTTTTCCTGCATGATTTTAGATGGACTTCTAAATCTTGGGATCAAAGTCATATATTTGCTGCTGATTGCACAGAAGGGAATGTTCAGTTCAATGTCTTCTTGTGCAAGAAAGCAATCCTACAGTAACATATAACATTCACAATCAGTTCTCCATGGCCAGCAACCTTGATCTCAAAATCTAAATCCCTTTTTCTTTGAGGACAAGCACAAGTTATAGTCCAAGATTCCAAATATGCTTTGAAGACTTTTTGTAATCATATCTTCAGCTCTCCACGAGTATTCCCCCTTGGAAATCATGTCCCACTTTATCAGCATTTTCATGACAACAATGCATTTGAAGAACAAAGCCCACTATGTCACCAGGACATAGAAAAACCTGACCAACAAGTCAATGATGCAGCTGCAAGATTATTTTCCTCTGCTACTCTTGAATATCTCACTAGTGTTTACCCAGAGTGTCTTTCCAAAATCATATACATGTTTGTTTTTGGCAAGCTCATAGATGTGTACCAGAATCAGGCCATTCCCCATATTGTACCCATTAAACTGGCACACATACCTGGAACAGTGCAAATATCCTATGAGCCAATATTTTTTATCTCAAGAGGTGACCAGTATAGGTCAAATTGTCATTAATGGGCTCATCAGCCTTTTTCTTGTATACCGGGACCACACTGCAAACAACTACCCCCCAATTCCATGGTTGCACTCAGCCAAAACATGTGAACATGTTTTTGGAGAAGCCCAGAAAATTGTTAAGGATTTTACCATGCTTGATCTCCAATATATGATTGCTAAACTGTGTGTCAAACTTTATGAAGCAGTCCTCACCAAATATCCCTTGATTTTAAAGGAAGAGCTCAAGGATACAACCACACATATTTTGATGCACAAGGTTTAGACTTACCTTATCAGGATACCCAATTCAATAGGCTGCAAGTGAAGCTGCAGAGGAATGCGATAGTCTTGTTGCATTAATTGGACTGAATCCTGTCTAACTGCGTCAAGCTATTTCACATGAAAACCATTATTGGCTACCAAGGATTCATTCTTGGTTCAAAAACCCTCTGAAGGAGATGGGTATACAACATAAAGATGGCTCCACTGTCAACTTAAACCCAGAGGGTGATTCAGATCCTGAATTTGATGATGACTTGGATGCAGAGCCTGAAAATCTGGACAATTGTGAGGCACAATTAATTCAAGACCTCATCAAGCACAGAGTTTCACCATTCTCAGCTCAACTGGGCAAAAATAAAGCAAAGCAAGAAAAGCTTACAAACCTCACCTTTACATCACTAGCCCTCAATATTAATAACATGTCTTGAGTGTAAGCAAACCACCAATACTCACTTTAATCCACTTATTCCTCATTTTTTTATTTTGTTGTGCTTTAGGTTAAGTTTTATAGAATAAAGAGAACACAATGAAGACATGGAAGAAATATATGCAGAGGAAAGCTGAGTCATTTACAGAACTATACAAATTTGTTCAACAATCCTGCCTGTTCAGGCCCCCAATGAATCATGTAAACCATGTGGAAAGGGAGAATTATTGGATGCACAAGAACTGAACCTGCAGGAGCTAGTCAAGACCTGTTGTGACATGAGACCCACCAAGCATAACTAGGTGTGCATACAAGAGTCTCAGGTCTACACACTGATGATACCACTATGACCTCTGAGTCCAAAGGCCTCCTAGACAAAAATGGTGTGGCTGAAAAAAAACAAAAAGATCTGTACCGAGCTGATATAAGAATTCCAATCTATGTCAGATGGGCAACAAGACCATGCAATTGGTTCTGGTTATGAGCATGCGGCATGATGGACTTCAACTTCAACCCAAACATTAACAGGCATTCAAAATCAACCAAGTGGCAATAGTGTGAATGCCACATTGCATGCAGAGCAACTTGCATTCAAGGTGAGTTGTTTTTACTTGGTACATGGCAAGCAGGTTTTCACAGGGATCAATTCATGTCATTTTTTTAGGCATCAACTCAGAGAAAGAATGTCTTTCAAGCTGCAAATACTCCATGCTTGTCAGTTTTTTTAGGAGCTCATATCAGCCCAATTCAGCCTTTGCAACTCAATGATTTCAGTATCATATATACTCAATGCAGTTTCATGCTTGGGAAAGGTGCTTGCCAGTCATATCTAGTCTCCATTATTATCTGCTAATACACACTAGTCCTATCTCTTAGCTCAAAAAACCACTCGCAAAAATGCAAGACATACATTAGTAAAAATTGTCCAAAACATATCTGATGTCTCATATATAACTGTGCAAGTATATCAGCAACATTTTTGCTCACAGTTTTCTTCTATTCCTGAGGTGACAGCCACATTTCAGACTAACCAGTTTGCTATCCTGCCCCCAACATCATTTATATGCCTTCTTGAATAACCTGTCAAAACCAATGGTACATACATCAATATTGGCACAGAGGACTTTATACTGTTTTGCCAGTGAGGAAAGAAAAAGTCAGAACAAGAACAAGAAGCTTTAGCAGAGGATTACATATAAATTTTTGTACTTACCACTGTAGATACTGTTGTTGCATATCTGTCCAAGTTAATAAGGTTTGAGCCTCACGCACTATCGCTCTCTACCACCACTAGAAGTGGTGGCCAAGAGCCACTTCCCTATTTAGTTATTGGACATTAAACTACTATAGAAATTCTTGATTCACACTTTCTGGATACCTCAGTCCTCATACAAGAGACTGATGTAAGTTTAAACATACATACATATTCCTATAGTTGCTGAAGCTACTACCTAGTATCACTTTGTAACAGGTAATAGCTGAATATAGAGTCCTTGTACAAGAAACTGAGTATCACTTTGTAACAGATACAATTAACAGGTTATGAGTCCTACAAACCCTTTGGAAGTAACACCAGCCGCCAGAGGTGTCACCACAGCAAGTGTCCTGAAACTAAAAGACAACAGCAGTAACTTGGAAGCCTACAAGACTAGAATGCTAGCCAGCGTGGCAGCTCATGGCTTAACAAGATACCTTAGTGGTACAGCCAGACCCCCAAGACCACTTAAGCTCAATACTGATGGAGCACCTGTAAAACCCGACAGATCACTGGCTGACAAAGACAACATTGAGGAGTACAAGATGAAAGTCAATTCTCACATCCAAAAGCACACCATAGTGATGCAACAAATGGTTGCATCTATATCAGACATGATGCTTTCCAGAATACAAGCAAGCAGGAAAGCAGATACTTCTGCAGGAATGTGGGAAGAACTCTGTTGGTATTATGAGCACAAAAGCAAAATTGTTCAAGTGGACATGTGTTGACAACTCCAAGACTTATGATGCACCGACAAAACTGATATCAGGACCCTCTTTGGTGAAATGATAAAATTGAGGGCCAAACTGGCAGGCATAGGCGCTTTGGTAGACGACTGAGACTTCTCGGCTATGATCCTATTGTCGCTACCAGAACCATACCGCCCTGTCCTCACATCTATGATAACCGCTGCTCAAATTTCTTGGAACACCCTCTCTCCCAAAAACATAATTGGCCACCTTATAGATGAGGTGGATCACCAAAAAGTTGTCAAAAACACTGAAAAGAAATGAGAGGGAGAATCAGCATTAACGGCCAAAAAGAAACATAAAAAGAAAGGCCCTACCTGCTATAACTGTGGCAAAATAGGCTATATTGCTTGAAACTGCCAAAAACCCAAGAAAGAAAAGACGGAAAACAGTAATCAGAAAAAAGACAAGGAAAAGGCTAAAAAACCTACCAAAAAGAAAGAAACAGCCACCGTAGCAGCAACCGTAGAATTGTCAGACGACAAAATATACACTTTTTCTGTATCTGCAAACAAAGCTCAAACCTCAATTGATAAGGATGAGACATGGGCTTGCAGACCATTTAGCACCATAGTAGACTATGGGGCTAGTAGGCATTTTTGTCCGCATTGCAATCTATTCACGGACTATAGAGATATTAGTCCGGAACCAATTTGCACTGCAGGCAGACCCCCGCTATATGTGACTGGACAAGGTAACATAATGCTAAGACTGCCAAACAGATCCAAATGAACAACAACAACACTAAAAGACGTGTTATATGTCCCACAAATGTCAAAGATCCTAATATTAGCCAGTCAAATGAATAAGGCGGGATATGCAATACATATAGAAAATTGCTTCTGTCGGATCCTATCCCCAGGGCCGAACCACCGTCCTATAGCAAAGATACCTGTGAAAGCAGGATTATACCAAATTACAGAAGACCTCCCATCAAAAGATCACCATGCCAATACAGCAACAAAAATGACTATAGATCAACTCCATCCTTGCTTAGGTCATGTAGTGACCAAATTGGCCAGATACCTGATAACATCAAACATGGTTAAAGGCATAGAAATTGATGAAATGTCAGAAGAACACTTCTGTGATGCATGTGTGAGAGCCAAGGCAGATTGAAAACCCTTCCCTAACAAATCACATAACTGTTTGACTGAATACGGTGAATGAATCCACACCGACCTGTGGGGCCCAGCATCAGTACAAGACATAAGTGGGAAGAGATACATGCTCACACTTACTGACAATTTCAGGGAAAGCCACATTCGCCTATTGGCAACCAAAGGCGAAGCTCTAAAACACTACATATGTTTTGAGGCCTGGCTAGCGACACAAATAGACGGCACTAAAATTAAAAAATTGAGATCAGACTGAGGGGGGGAGTTCCTCAGTGACGAATTCAAAGCTCACCTGAAGAAGCAGGGAACTGAATGAGAACTCACAGTTCATGACTTCCCACAACAGAACAGAGTCTCCAAACGTCTCAACAGAACAATTGTTGAACATGTCAGAGCAATGCTAATTCAAGCTAAACTCCCGGAGTACCTATGGGGCAAAGCCGTCAGACACGCTAATTGATTACAAAACCGATCACCTACCCGTGCTCTGAAAGACAAAACCCCGCACAAAGTCGCCCATGGCAACAAGCCCAATTTATTGAACCTTCACAAATTTGGAGCCATTGTTTATGTACGGTTAGAAGAATCAGACAAATTGGGCTCCAAAGCTGGAGCCACCAGATTCCTTGGCTATGACCTTGAGAGCAAAGGGTACCATATATACTGGCCTGAAAAGTGTAAGGTCAGTGTAGAACAAAACATCACTTTTATAAGAAAACCCCTACCAGACAATGCTGAGAACGAGGGGGAGTTGTACCAGGTTTTGACACCCAACCTGAAGAACTCGCCCCAAATTGTCAAGAACAATGCCAAACCTGTAACAACCAAGAGTTAGTTACTCTGGCGCACAACTCAGACAAGCAAAAGAGTAATGAGAGGGAGTGGTTACCCCTTAAGATAGGATTGAGTTAGTTGTGGGTAAACAACAGGAGGACTCGCTGAGGAGTCTCCTGGATCTATTGAGGTTTATATACTACTACAGTGTTTTTTGTACATATGTACTATACAGTTGACGGAGGCAGTGGCTGACGACGTCATGGGGCATAGCCTGTGTAACCAGCTCCACTGCGTGAGAGACTTTGTAGCTAAAAATAAGGCAAAGGCAGTGCAGCGCAAAAAGGTGGAGTTTTGAACAAAGATGGAAAGTGCCGCATGGCACAGTGTGTAAAAACTACAAAAGAAAGTTGAAGAGGAGAATGAAAATTAAAGGTCCAAAAATTGTGTATTGTAACAAAACCTGAAAAGGAAGCATCAGAGAAGAGAAACAACCAGGAACCAGACCTTCCCCTTCATCCCTCTATACCAAAAGTTGTCAACATGGTCGAGACAGCATCTACACGCCCACCGTGGGAAACAAACCCACCTGGATATTATAGGAATTTGCACAAGGGACATAACACGGCTAACATAGCCATCACATCAGAAAAGAAAGACACTGACGACAGCAATTATATTGCTCCCCTGATGGCCGCACTATCAGCAGAAATAGCCACTGATTCCCCACCCATTCATGAGGCCCTGAAAGGCCCAGACCGAATTCACTGGCTTGAAGCAATAAGTGATAAGATGAGCCAATTTGAGAAATTACGCACCCGGGAACCGGTACAACCACCCAAAGGGGCAAACATCATACGCAGTCACTACGTTACCAAGATCAAATGCGATGCCAATGGCAATATACTCAAATACAAAGTCAGACTGGTTGCAAATGGGAATGTGCAGAAACAAGGAATAGACTATGAAGAGACTTACTCAGCAGTTGCAAGACTAGCATCCCATAGAATCATATTGGCCCACGCCACAGTAAAAGATTGGGAAATCCACCAAGTTAACATAAAGAGCGTGTACCTAAATGCGGAACTCAACGAAGAAATTTATATGAGACCTCCACCAGGCTACCTGAAAGATAATCAGCAAGGGATGGTATGCAAAAGGGTCTATATGGCCTAAAACAAGCGGGACTAGGCTGGTACAGAAAGCTGACAAAAATGTTCATAAAAGCTGGTTTTGTGAAATCAGAATATGACCATGCAGTCTTTGTCAAAAGAGACAAGGACTCTCATGCGGCTGTTGGGGTATCTATTGACAACATGATCGTGACTAGTGATTCACTAAAGCAAGTAAACGACTTCAAAAATCACCTGTGTACCGAATACAAAATATCTGATATGGGTCCCATACATTGGCTCCTAGGATTTGAAATCATTCATAACCGACCACAGAAAATGATAACGCTGAAATAAGAGGCATATGTTGACTCCATGTTAGTATCCTTTGGCATGGAAAACTCGAAGCCAGTATCAACCCCCATGGAACCAGGCGTAGCTCTATCAAATGATCAGTCGCCTGTAACTGCCCAAGAAGAGAACGCAGTGAAAAACATACCATATAGAATATAGAATGGCCATCGGCAAACTGATGTACCTGGCCTTGGGGACATGTCCGGATATAGCCTTCGCTGTTGCAATAACCTCCTAATTCGCACAAAACCCTGGTTTGAATCACTGGGAGGCCGTCAAAAGGATATTTAGATATCTAAAAGGGACAAAAGCGATGGGACTTACACTCGGCGGACAAAACAAAAGTATAATTGGCCACACAGATAGTGATTGGGGATCGCAGCCCCATCGCCACTCCTCAGGATATACATTTGATGCATATGGTAGGGCTGTATCCTGGAGCTCTAAGAAGCAATTGATTGTAGCGTTATCCAGCACCGAAGCTGAATATGTTGGACTCATCAACACCACTAAGGAAACCGTCTAGCTAAGAGGATTCATGACTGACATCTCTGGAAGTGCTCCTGAAGGCCTGACACCAGTATATACGGACAATCAAGGAACAATAGCACTCACCAAAAACAATATATTCCACGCTCGAACGAAGCACATTGAGATTTGTCATCACTACATCCACGACACTGTTGAGAAAGGCCAAACCATTGTCCTATACTGCCCCACTGATGAAATGCCGGCCAATTTGATGACGAAGGTGTTGCCCAGAGTGAAATTATCAAAGTTCACTGGGATGCTGGGAGTGCGCTAGGCTCAAGGGGAGTGTTGTCGCATGTCTGTCCCAGTTAATAAGGTTTGAGCCTCACGCACTATCGCTCTCTACCACCACTGGAAGTGGTGGCTGAGGGCCATTTTCCTATTTAGTTATCGGACATTAAACTACTATAGAAATTCTTGATTCACACTTTCTGGATACCTCAGTCCTCGTACAAGAGACTGAGGTAAGTTTAGACATACATACATATTCCTATATTTGCTGAAATTACTACCTAGTATCACTTTGTAACAGATACAATTCACAGATACAAGGAATAATGGCCTTCTATTTGATCCTTGTTTGCCAGTCCGGACAATTTTGTCGGAATTTTGCCGAACATTGACACCTTGCGCGGGATCCGGACAATTTTCATTCAATCTTCGTGCCTGTCCGTCCGGACAAAAATCTCTCGCGTTGCAACAAGGTTCTACAGGCATATTCAGGGGTCCTTGTGGCGGGGGCTTTGTTTATAAATCTCAATTTGCAGCCGCTGAGAGTGAGGAATAAAGTTGTGCTGACTTTAAAAATATTATATTCATGTGACTATCTATTAACAAGCCTTGTCCAGCACTCATTCTCCTCTCTTGAAACAGTGGCTGTGGAGTAACTTGGTGTTTATCAAGTTACGGTCGTCTCTGAACGAGTTTTCCTCATTTATAACACATCAATGACCTTGGAAGGATGGGATCGAATATCGATATGCGACTCGCTACCGTATTATGACACCGAGTGCGAAAAAATTCCTTATCTCACCCAGAAGGTAGACCTGGAACTGGCTAGCGAGTTTACGCGTTTAGATGGTCTGCACTCAGGTGTTCCCCCTGCTGATCTCTTCCCAGTACGTTCTCCACATTCATATCTTGGTCGTTTCAATATGAAATATCTAGCGTAATGCCACTTTGCTTGCTGAGCTTACTCGCATTGAAACATATAATGCAATGCCGCCGCCGCTAGATTTAGAAGAAACATTCGCCCAACTGAATGAACCGTTACGTACCTCACCAACCTCTGCCACGGATCAGACATGGCAGGAAGTCATACTCAGTGCTCGTGTGTACTTGGAACATCAGCGTATGCGGTATGTCTTAGCACCCGTATTCATTATTACTAACTTTAGCTACAATCCACTTCCAGTCAACTCAATTTGGCTCTTGTACAGACATATGGGTCTAACTCTTGGTTAACGCAAAACTATCCCCTCCAGCGCATGGCCGAGCAAGCAGAGAAAGATCTAAAGAGTATCATTTATCTCACATCACGGGTCAATCAAGAGCGGATACACTTTCAGGTGAGGGCTTTTCCAAACAGATCATACTATTCAAGATTATTAACAGATATCTGTACTCGAAGACTAGGATTGGGGAGCAGCTCGCTACACTAGAAGCACGATGGACGGACCTTGTGTCAAAAGTTCTTCAAGTTCAAATGTCTAATGTCTCACTCGAAATTGAAATCCAGGAGTTGAAGCAGACCGAATTCCAAATTAGACATCGTCAATGATTCTAAATGCATGGGTATCAGCTTGGTTGCACTGGCGGATCAGTTGCGCGTGCAAAAAATCGGGCGGAAAGAGTAAAAGAGCGGAAATTGTGAGAAAAGTGAAAAATGTATCTGGTAGTAAAATCACCTCAACCTCGCAACTCGCGATATCATAGCATGCAAGGTTGCCATTTGGGGATATATGACAAGCTAATGAGCTCACACTTGAGAGTCCCAGTGTTGGGCGAGCCGTACCATCTGCCATTTAGAGAGCCTTGGGCACCACCATGGTACTCCCAGGAACCATGTCGTATATGACACTAGAGACGGCACTGAAGGCACTATAAATGAGTAAGCACATATGTGTCAGTATGATAGAGGCCTTGCGTCGAGCATGTGTGTTGTAACTTGTATCCTAATTGCCTGACAAGTAAAACATGGTTTTCATAGCTAAAACATGGTTTTCATAGCTAAAAATGCCTGTATCACATTTGCTGCATGCCCACCGTCCACATTCTACACATATAATCTAGAATGTCAACAATTCAGCACCACTGACACTAGGGTGTAGCACGGGTATGGGTCACACCGCGGGTTTAGGGGGGACGGGTACGGCGGGTACGGGTACGGTGTTCAAAATCTATACCCTCAGCAACACTGTACCCGTTTGTGCGGTATACGGGTTTGATATGGGTGGCTGTGATATTCGGATCCCGCCTGCCTCTTGCTTCTGTCTTGTACCAATCAACGCTCAAAAATGGGATCACTGACATCATCTAAAAGAAGAGTTTCCTTGCTGCTCTTTTATGGTAAAAAGAAGCATCAAGACAACGTTGATGAAAACCTTGGCATCAGGTGCGTATAAATGCTGGACTGAAGTTAAAATTTAACACGCATTCCACATGTTGACAGTTTCAACCAGTACTGGTGCTGGTGACGGCTCTTCAACCAAGTCCCATCCAACATCTGAGTCCTCTAGTCTTCATTCAAGAGTACCACAGGTTCAAGACATAGATGATTTTGGGGATATCTCACTAGGTGTTGCAGTGTCCTTGGATGAGCTTCAAGAATATCTACGCCAGCCTGTTGAAAAGACAAAGGACCCGCTAAAGTGGTGGGTGAATAATCAACACTCTTATCCGAACTTGCATAGGATGGCACTCAACTACCTTAGCATTCTTGGTAAGCCTCAAGTACATGATATACTTGTTCATGCTGAGCAACATTCTAGCAACCTCAACTGCTGTAGAGCGGATTTTCTCCCAAGGCTGGCAGCTGCTTCACTTTACTCGTAATCACTTATCTCCTTCCTCAACTCGAGCTCTGTCTGGGCTCATGGCTCCAATGTGAGCTCATTTCGAGTGCAGATCTTGTGAAAATCATTAAACAGTTAGGAAAGTGTAAGCTAGATACGACAGAGGCTATTGATGTACAGTAGATACTCTCAAATTTGTATTGCTTCAGCTCATCTCAATATTTTCTGGTTCCTCAACCCGCGGGTATTTGCACTACCGTGGATACCCTAGTATACCGCGGGTCCTAACGGTATTACCGTACACGTACCCTTGAAGGGTGCGGTGTTGGCGGGTACAGATACAGTGTTGATTTTCTGACGTACGGGTACACCCGTGCTACACCCTAACTGACACCCATCCACTTGGTTTCTCCTCTCTCGGAAAACCACATCTTGCAGTCATCAGCTTCTCCAAAATGGGACGTAAATGGTGGCGAGTTGAAGCATTTAATGATCATCCTAGATATAAAGCAAAAGATCCAGTATCGTTTGCTAGCAAAGATGGCAAAAGAGAGGCAAGGTTGCATGTAATGCATGCTGGCCTGTATTGAAGGCAAAATTCCAGGATGCGGATGAACAGGAACTGGCAAATGGAATGAGAGTTGAAGTATGAACACAGGACATCTTAGAAAGAGACAGTAAGCCCTGCTATACTTGCTCTACTATTGATTTTGATGGTTGTTTATTGGTTCGTCAGTGTGGGCTATGGATATGAAAGATCCCCAAAGGCCCTGGTTTCCATCTCATGCAGATACTCTCTTGAGACACTTGGCCACAAAGTGTCCAAATGTAGCCACACACATCCGCCAGCATGAAATTCAAGAATGCAATGCTCGATCATATTCTTTACAAGCATCTCCAACCTTGAAGCGCACTTACAGCACCACTGTCTCAGCTAACTACTATGCTGCGGCACCAGCACCTGGAATCTTGCAGAAACCACAGTTGCTCTTGTATTCATCTGCTGGCCCAAGTTCCCAGGCTCTAAGCCCCTTTGCAAGCTTGAGCCGCTCTGGTTCATTCCCTAATCTACTTCTACCAGGGTCTCCATCATATTCACCAATATCAGTCACTTCACACATCTCACAGTCTCCAGCTAATGATACTTGGGCATCAAAACGCAGCCGCACAACCTTACCTCGCCACCCATCGCAAAATTTTCAGTGGAGTGACAAAATGCAACATGAATTTTGCCGTCACTTAGCCAGAGTCACAGCCTCTGCAGGATTCCCTTTTCAGTGGGTTGAAAACTCGGAATGGATAGCATTTTGTCAGTAATTCATTCCAGCTGCAAAACCCATCAGTAGGAAGGTTTTAACCACATGACTCATTCCAGCAGAGGCTGAACTTTACCAAGAAACAGCCCAAGCAAGACTGAATGGTCAATATGTCACTGGACAGTGTGATGGGTGGACAGGTATTAATTTACACGACTTAATTGCATTTATGGTCACAACAGCTTCACGAGAGGTGCACAGTTTCTTTCTTGTCTCCATGTGAAACTGATGATTTCTGCAGGTACACTCTGTCAAAGTATATGATGTATCCTTGGAGCAAAAGACAGCAGATAATTTATACAGGCTTATTAAGACAACAAAAGAGATACTCGTCTCAAATTGGCATGTTGTCCTTATAGCATTCACTTCTGACGCTTCTCGGGAGTCTCAAAAAGCAAGAAAGACACTCTCACACAATACACCAGAGATCATTGTCCTTGATTGCTACAGTCACCAAATCAACCTAATTGTTGGGGACTACTTTGCATGTAATGAGGCACAATTTGTGTTTGACTACTCAACAAAGGCTATAGAGCTCATCACATGGATCCGCAGCAAGCCACTACTTACTGCCCTGATTTGGTTGACATCAAAGATACTAACAGGCTCAGAACTAACTGTCATTCGACCTGTTATCACTCGATGGACAGCTCACTATTTAGCCTTCCAATATTTATTAGATCTCCGTCTCACACTACAACATGTCTTTGCCAGCAATGCACAACAAATTCCTGCCCAACAACTAATCAAGACTGGGGACTGGAAGGCAATACAGAAGGCAGAAACAATGAACGAGCTCGTTAATGATAGTCTATTCTGGCATACAGCTGCACGGTATGCACACACCAATTTTGTTCTAATATTCTACATAATTAATGATGTTCTAGAATCAAAAAACATCTGGAGCCACTTGCTCTTGCAGCAACTGTCACACAAGCAGCACACTGCCGCCTTGACCAGGTGTTATGCATTTTCAACACTTTGTACTCAAAATATTCACAAACCAGCAAATCACCCACTGATTCAATGGATGTTCTATTAATGCAAGCCATCCTGGACAGCATTAAAAAACGATGGGCAAAGGCTGACCAAGGTGTTTTTGTTGCGGCATACTCAATCCACTATACAAGATCTTGCCATTCAAAGCTGGGATCCCATTCATGATGTCATCAGGCCTCTGGGAACTATTTCCCACCTATGGACTCGCTTCTACAAAGAGACTGCACAAATAGCCCTGTATAAAGAGCTGTTGGACTACTTAACCAGTGCTGGCCAGTACTCAAAGCTTTTGGACCACATCCAACGTGAAAAAGCCCTTGCTGCTAGTGAGGTATGGTTTTCTATTTTCATTTTCAAAGTCTCTTTTAATGCTTCCTGCAGAACAAACCTCTTGACCCGCTTTGTATATATACTGAGCTCATAGACCTTGTAAACCCTACACCTACACCTCTTCAGCAACTTGCCCAACATCTTCTCTCTGTATCAACTAATTCTGCCTCCTGCGAGAGGTTATTTAGTGCCTTTGGCCTCATTCTCACTCGACTTTGCTCTCGTATGAGTCTAAAGTCAATGACAGACCTTGCTGAGCTTTGCCTTCACCTATGAGACGAGTATGTCAGACTTGGCATTGTCAAACAGAACCTTCAAAAGCAAAAAATTGTCTCACTACCAAATCCATCTCAGCAGACAACCGACCCACCTACCACCACTGAAAATACACCAGCACCATCTTCTGCTGAATTCTTGGCCACCAAATTGCAGGCAGAAACCAACAGTCAGCCTGAAAATTCAATGCAGGATATCATTTCAGAATTGCGAGAACATTTGTCAGCTGATGAAGATGAAGAGCCAATCTCATTCGATGAGATACACATACCAATTGGCTCACTCTTCAATTTTGAAAGCACAACATGGATAGAAGTGGAGAAAAGGTTCTTGCTCCGAGGCTTGGATGAGAAACTAGAGCTGTATGATCTAGTGAGTCTTGATGCTCCTGGTGAAGCTGACTCGGATGGGGTTTTAGATATGGATGTTTTCGAAGAGGCAGTTCTTGTGTCCTAAATGCATGTAATATTATTTGATACTAGCTACACATTGACTCTATACACAAGATTTGTCTTTTTTTTATTCTATATCTGCTTCTGTACTTTTGTCGACCTTCACCACCGCAGTATCATGATGCATTGACCCATCCCCTTGCTCAGGATATATTGGTTCCTTCAGTGATGTGCGCCATGCCAATTCAACATGGCAGAGCCTAGTACCGCTGGCACCTTGGTGCGGAGCCCATAGCTCGTCCTTCACTGGTTGAGACCCAGTGAAAAGTCCCATGTCTAAAAATTGGGCGTTAGCGAGACAGAGCAGGAAAAAGCGGAAAAGATCAAGAAAAAAAGAGAAACATATAGAAATATTTTTTGTAGTAAAATTCCAGATTTCTCTTGCTGTGTCTCATAGAAATGGGAATTTTCAAGTAACTTCAACGAGAATAAACGAGAGACAGCGAGAGAAATGTGTAGTTACATACATGTAATGATTTTTACCAAATTTTAGAATCACTCAGAGATCACCCAATCAAATAGAAAAAACGCCAAAAATATTGAGTTATGAATGAACTGGAATAAACAAAAGAAAATGCTAATGAGTGTCACGAAAAAACCAGTACTGAATAGCCATAGCATCCTCAAATCAGAACCCACTCTCCTCTGCCTCCCTATTGCTCTCGCTATCCACTATCCTCCATCCCAACATTTGAGTTGTATTTGAGCCATCACATGATTGCTACATCATCTGAGCTGCCAATTGAGCGGCTACTTTCTGTAAAAGTAGTTAGAATTTGTCAGAAAAATCCATTTTACCGGATCAGATCTTACAAATGTCTGTAGCGTTCCTGAATGATCTGATAGTCTAAGCTGTCGCAGACCAGAACCTTATCAGAATCAAAACAGAAAACAATCAGGCTGATCAGCTGAAATAAAAAAGTAAGAGACTCAGATTGTTTCTGGCCAGACACAATCTGAGCGTAAGAAAAATGTAGGAACATATCATTGTCAACTAAGTCATTCAAATAAAATTGTCCTTCCTTCAAATTGAAAGCCCTGATCATATGAGCCCCCAAAACTAAGTATTTAGCCATCACCAGCTCGAAGTCTTTGGCTTCAACATACAAACAAGCACCTGACCATCTAGTCCTCGGATTTCCATCTGATGGCCTGAACATCTTGACTAATGCAATGTCAAATGAAGAGCACTGGGTGAAACATTGACAGATGCTTTGGAGTTGAGCGGGAGTTGGCTCTGGAGTGTCTGTATTAACCAGAACACAGTCAAAGCGCGGTTCTGCATTGAAATTGGGATTGCAGCAAAGAATGTTGCGGCCTTCGCTCCAATCCTCCAGTGACTGATACGACAAAAAATTGTAATCTGTTTAATGGGAAACAGCGTTAGAGTTGGAAAATAAATCTGGATTAACATTAACCTACTGTGATGGGACCATCTCCAATGGCTATATTGCAGTTTGAGACTAAAAACCTTTGCAAATGTTTGTGAAATCCTTTGAAGTTCCTAGGGAGCATCTGGACTATACAGGGAAGAATGCACTAGCAGAACGGTTAGTAGTTTGGGGGACTAGTAAAAATTATTGTAAGGACAACATACCTTTAGTATATTAAAGAATACTTGGCCGTCTGCATATTCAACCGTTGTGACATTCATTAAATGTTTCAGTCCCGCCTATTGCGAGACATTCTGCATGCTATCACTCACAAGCTTTAGTGCAACAGGTTCTGAGATGTAATATAAGGCTTACTTTCTGGCCATATGGCCTTTGTTGCCATCTTCCACTAATACATTGAGGAGGAGTGGCCAAATGTGCTTACCCCATTTTCCTAAGTCGTCAGAGTGTAATTTGTCGTATGATATGGAATGGTATGGATCTGAGTATTCCAGTGACCAAAAGAAATTCTGTAAATAACTAGTCAGTTGAAGGCTATAAAATGTGGAAGAGAGAACCTTGGTTGCATGCAATCCATAGCTTTGTAAGATCCATTCTGCCTCGGTTTTATTTGGTGCTGAGATTGAGCAATTATAAACTTGCTGCATATTTTCCGTTGTACGGAACTCAAAGTCTCTGGTAAGTTTGTTCAGATCACCGTGGTGAACAAGACATTGTGGGCAAGGATATTTGGCTAGAGCTGCACGCATAGCAGTGAGAGCACAGCTTTCCTTGCCATCAACAGACTTCACTGGTACTCCTGGATGTATTACTCGATTGTTTTTGTCGCCGCATTTCATCGCTTCTCCAAAGCGCGCAGGACCCCGTAATGAGCGGAATACTACTTCAATGACTTTATGGTAAACTTCTCATTTGAAGCACTGCCATTAGACAGTCTCAGGTGCATTTCTATCAGATGGATTGGCCGGATCTTGAGGCTGTAAGACTATAGTGTGTGTATTTACATAGCAAAGAATAAACTCACAATAGGCATGTAGCCTACCAGAACACCCTCTCCATTTCCTGACGCGTTCCTCACCTTGTGTGGTAGAAATAGTGGACAAATGATAATAGGGTGCTTCTTGACCTGCTTCGCGATATTTCTTTTGTCAAGCCAAAGTGATATTGGTAGGAAACAATGCGGCGGATTTTCATCTTGTGGAAAAGAAACCTGTGTTTAAATTCTTCTAGTCAGCAAGCATATAAAAGAATATACTACATAATTACCTGTATATGCCACCATATACTGGCCAAATTAAATTCATTGTATATGTGTTCCTTCAAAACTATCCTACCGTTTTGCTGACAGTGGTATTTATGGTAGGGGTACCAATAGATGAGAGGCGCCAGCGTTTTGTCTGTGATCCAGTTGCAATAAATCTTCCATGGATCACGGTACTTGAAGTTGAAGTTGAACATTTCCCCTAGATAATTTGCAGAAACACTACCTTCTTGGAACTAAAAGAAAGATTAGAAGATTAAGTTTTGAGGGTTAATTCAGCTCACCTGGACATAGTGTGTGCGTGCTACTTGTAATGTTTGCTCCATGTCTGGATAATTCTGGAATGTTATGTTAGTACTCTCTGCCCATCCATTATGTACCCCATGAAGTTGTGTGTTTACTATCTCTTTACCCAGTAATCCTTTAATTGCTGTTTCTGCATATTCAAAGTCAGAACGCGTGTGGAATAGCACCCATGGTTTGATGGCCAAAGTGGATTCATGTTCAGTTTGAGGGCTGTGTTGATGAGCTGAAGAGATACTTGTGTTAAGCAGAATTGTTACTGGTTCCTTGCTACCACTTTGAGGATGGTAAATAATCTGTATAAATGTTGGACTCGGAGCATGTTTGGTAGTGTCACCAGTAACAGGTTTCTCAGGGTTGAAGTTGAAGCCTGACAGACACAGTTTTAAGATTCAATAAAATATACACTTTGAAACATGTACCGCTAATTGATGGACCTATTGATGGAGCTGGTCCAACTTTATCACTGGCTTGAGTCTGATATTCATCATCCTGATAGGAGACATGGGATCATTGGCTTTAGGGGTTTGTAGAAACAAAGAGTTCCCTCACCTCTACAGTTTTCTGCTTTTTCCTCAGCCTCTTGAGCAATTCTTCTGGACATCGTTTTGCTAAAGTATTTTCTTGTTGCATTGTCAGCTCTACATGTTCTTGATGCTTTATTTTGCAGGATTCTAGATGCTTGTCAAAGTGGCGGGTGCTTCAGTGTTCCTGACAATACTGACACCATGGTCCAGATTTTGCTTCAGTGGTCCTCAGAACACAAGACATGGTTGATTATAATGCAAGATGAGACGTGACATGTGTTGTAGAGATATGATTTGAATGGTCAGTCTGAGGCTCCAAGTTGGTTGCACTGTGAGCTCACCTGTGTACGTAACAATCCGACCCTCCCTACAGGGTTAGTGTGAATGCTCCACACCAATTGCTCATCTCTAGTAACCACTACAGAGATGGCAAAAAAACAGAAACACACCATGCACCATGGAGAAGAGGAAGAAAACTTCCAGTGAATGCCAAGCCGCCCAAACTCTGGGAAGAAGGAAGAGCCAGGTAAAGCACATGATGGTTCTGCACAGGCAGGTGCCTAGGACAGTGCAAGATGTCAATAATGAGCTAGAAAGAAGTACAGATGAAGAATTGTACTCACAGAATGAATCAAGTGACAAACACCCAAGCTTTGAAGATCCACCCATCAACAGTAACTCAGGATCTGACAGCGACATATCACAAATCAGCTGGAACATGTCACCAGCTTTGCTATACAAGGTAATAATTGTTAGTTTATTTTGCCCTCTGAAATATGCTGATATTGTAAGTAGGCTGCCCATAAGGCCCACATTGTAGCCAATTCTGCAAAAGAGGACACAAAATCTATGCATTAATACAATGACACTATGAATGAAGAAAGTCAGGAATCTTGTGAAAGGAAAGTCGGGAAGAAGAAACAAACATTGTCAGGAAGAAGAAAAGATTAGGGTGCAGAAACACTGGCTAGGCCATTCAGTGAGTGATTCAGATTGTCAAACATTTGAAACTCACCAGAACTTTTCACCTGCTAGTTTCATGACAGATTACAGGAGCAAAGATCAAATGCGGCTTGTTGTCTTCAATCTCGGGGGGTGTTGTCTTCAATCTCGGGGGGCCCCTGTTTTTGAATGCACCGAGCAAGACTTAAGAATATCCCTAATCAGCGTGCAAAGTTTGGTGAAAAAAATAGGACAGGTACAAAATACAGATGGAACTGTGATGTACCATCCATGGGATATCGAGATTTTTCACCGAGACTACAAAGGACAGTTTGATGTTCAAACTATTTTTTTGAATCTGATTCTTCATAAGGTGTGTCAACTTTTATCTCACAAAATAATTGAGGACTCACTGAGCAGACAATGAGATGTATTATACGAGGACCTGCATCTGTGATTTTAATGAACACAGGAGAATCTTCCCGTGCTGCAAGAAACAACAAAACAATGGACCTGAAATGGGGGTTAGACCACACTACCCCAGGAATGATTGCTGCCTCTGCTATCCTAGTAAGCAGTTCCAAACTCATTGTATATTGAGACAACTAACGTACACTGGTTTTTTTAGGCTCGTTGGGCCCTATCTCCCGATGAATGCCTCAAAGAAAAAGGGGTTGAATCCGGTGTTCACTGGCACAACAATTTTGACAATTACCTGGAATTTCTTTCAAGCTTTCTACAAAAGCAAAAAAGAAGCGTGCTCAATATATTCTGAGAGTGGGATAAAATCCTTTTCCCCAACATTGAACACGGACTTGGGGGCTATTTTAGCAATGCAGACAGGCATAAGCTAATGACAGGGGTGATGGCAGCATTAAACGATGACAACGACAAAATCAAGCCCGGAGACCAAGAGATGATTTCTGAGAGAGGCTTTGAAGCTGGGGGGGGGCTTGAGGGTGGGAATAGTAATGAGGAGAAAAACAATGTCAATGGAAGAGAGAACTGATGCATGCACATGTACAGATAGTGTAGATAAGATAACAAATGAACAGATAAATGAACATTATCAGATCACATCAATAATTATGATCAAACAATCTGTTTGTGTCTATGAGGTTATTGATGGACTGGATAATAACAAGTCCAAATGCAAGTTCAAGAAACTGTCAATGTCCAAGACTATGGGAGACAAGATGGACAAAGAGAAGGGCAGGTTTGTACAGTCTTTACTGACACAATTATTATTAACAACAGTTATACAGCAGTATGATGACTTTGTTATACATGGTGTTGCCGACATTGCTAACCTCTCATCCTTTGGCTATTAAATAGCTCTTCTCCATACTCCCTTTACTTTGGTGCATACTCATGAAGAACCCTCTTCAAGACTTCTGTCTGTTCTTGGATTGCTCCTCCAATATCTTCCTTTAAGATTCACCCCTTCAAAATTCTTCTCAATATGCTGTAATGTCTCTTTTAAGTCTTGAGAGACTCGAACACCTGACTCTGACTTTTCAGCCTTTTTTTTTTTTGGATTAGGTGGTGTAAGTTCTGTCTGTAACACAAGATATTAGCGGGACTTGTAATGGGATGTAGGAGTCGAGGGACAGACACTCTCAAGTATCTTTTAACATTAAGTGTACAGTAAGACATTGAATCACCCAAAATTAGGACGTTTAACAAACCTGCTCATTGATGTTACTGATATTATTATCCCTCTTGTCTAGCCGACACTTCTGAGTCAAGTTGCCTGTAGGTATTACTGCGGTATCTGAGTCTTTTCCATCCTTCCCAATTGTCTCAATAATACTGTCTGTGCAGTTCTTCAAAAACTGGTGAGTTGTGGGGGTTATTACAGCATAATTAATAGTCTTACTTCTTTGTTTTCATCCATGACCTTGCCAGATGTATTACAGGGTTCATTATCAGAGTGTATTGTGTGTTCTTGAAAATTGGGGGGTGTCGGAGGTGAGCTATGCACATCTTTATATCGTTCAAGTTTATTGTACTTATATCGCCCCTTCCTATCTACAGGACAACCTTGACCAAACCCACCACCGTTCAAATACAATAGCACACCATCAGATGAATATGTGCTTGTAGATCCATACCTCAACTGGGGAGAGACTATGCCTGGAGAGGGTGGTATGGCCGGGGGAGGTGTGCTGGGCGTTAACAGGTGACTTGGTGTGGGTAAAAACTCTGCACTTTTCTTTTTCCGGTTTGCTGACTCTGTGTCTCCATAAAGTGCCAGCCAGTGTTGTTTAAGATCACCAGGACCTTTGGCTGATTGTGTGAGGACTGTAGCAGCAGCATTATTAATCAAAGACGGCTTGGAGCTGTTATCTGACGATGAAGTCTCTTCAACAAGAGGAGTGGAACTATGACATCGACATTTTCCTGGGTTTGATGACATGATATTCCGTTGTTTCAGCTTCAAGCTTCAAGTCCAGGTGAGCAAAGATCTACTATGTATTACTAATTGACTAATATGATGTCTGAGGCTCCACAGAGTGCCACAGAGCATATATAAACAGGCCATGTTGCTCTGTCGCAGACTCATTTTTTCTTTTATACCATCAATGCCAAAACACCAAGCTCAATCAAAGTCACAGATCACCGAATTGCACTGCTTCAGCTACAAGGTATTGAATGGTATGTAGGCTCGGCTTATACTTATCCATCAGTAACTCACACCTAATTTTTGCTACAGACTAACAAGCCCTGGCATATAACTGTTAGTTTTGGTGATTCTGCACCTTTGTGCTACCTACATATTTTCATTACTTTCTCTATCTATTCCTCTACCATTCAGTATTGATTGTGTTCTCTATTATTTCGCCTTTGTGGCTGCTTTGTTTAACTTTGTTTACAAAATTTCGGACAGTACTGCAGAGTCCAGTGCTTCCTATTCTCTCACATTGGACTCTAGCTCTAGTCCGTGATAGCTCTCAGCAAGTGGCTAGACACTTCCTTTAAGCTTTGTTCTCAACAATAATGAAGCTCTCCACAGCTATTATGTTCACACTGTGTGCAAGGCAAATATGCTCATTGTCACACCAATGCTTGCATGTAAGTTTGTATCATATAATTGTCATCATGGTGTTCACTGATATCTACATTGGTTTTATATCTCAAAAGGAGTGTATAGTCTTGCTTGAGTTTGTTTTGTACCACATTCTATTACATTTAGATTCCATCTGAGTCTCGCTGTGATCAAGTTGTAGTACCAGTTGGGGTGTAGGCCATTACTAGAGTACTTAGTTGTTGTTGCCACGTCTGCAAATGAATTCTGGTTTTTGTTATTCTCTATTTATTGATAATTATGGCCTGAAAGAGCCAATGATAATAATAATTACACCAAAATGTCAAAGCAGACTGAACAAAACCGAACCAGGCATGTTCAGCCCAATCAGACATAGTTACTTTTGCTGGTACCGGCTATCACTATCTGTGTATCCAGGCTGAATTCGCGGGACGGCCTGGTGAACCCTTTCACTCTGCTCAGAAGATTCAGACACTTCAGACGTGTCCTCCTGATCATTGCTCCAGGTATGCTCAGACTTCTCAGCGCTGTCGATTCCATCATTCTGATCAATGTCTAATTTGACCCGTTCACAGTATTTTGTATCTAATCTGTTGGTAAATTTTCTGGCAACCTAATCAGACCACATCCGGCCAAATTATAGAAATTAGATTTTTCTGACATTGTAGCAAGTATTAGAAAAATCACACACCATTTGTTCCGATTGATCATGGTATTTCTGTAAGAAACGAGTCAAAATCAGCATCAAAGTAAGGCAGCTAAAAGACTTACCTTTTTATCTTCCACTGAGAGAGCCTTCCAGTATTGTTCAAATTCAGTTGTGGTCCTGGTCAGATTGTTCTCACACCATTTCACCACACAAAGGTTCCTATAAAGAGTGAGTACATGTGCATATATCTACTGCGCTGTGACTTACCTTGATGTTAAAGTTCCTGTCAGCCTCATTTTTTTTCCGCTAGGCTTTGCAATTGTGGCTTCTTTTTTTAGTATTGTTTGGGCTGTGTTGGGTGGCAGGTTGACTAAAACCTGTCAAACCATTGTTGGAACACTAGCTACAGGACCAGTTTTGGTAGTTTTTGCTGGGGTGTTGTCTATTGATTGGGAAAAATTTGTTCCCAAATTATTTATGGATCACTTCTCCCTCATCCATGTAGAATATGTTGATGCTGATATTTTAGCCCTTACATACATAGTAACTAGATTAGCTTGATATAGAAACAACTTATTATTTACCTAAGTAAAACTACAACAGATGTTAGTTTAAGGTGATCTCTAATAAATGTAATGTAACATACCTCAGCCACTGCCTGAGAGGCTATAGAAATGACTGAGGTATTCCAATACTAAACCCCCTACTACTTATAGTCGGAGGTGCTACTCGCTACAGTATAAATACTCCTAGGAGAACAATGGTGACTCCATGGAGTGGTGGCTATGCTCCATGGAGAACAATGGCTACTTTAGCAGAGACTGGGTTTATCCGGTTTTGTCAAACAATACATACAAAGGGTTTTTGATGATGATTTTGAATGACGGCTGTAAGAATATATAAATGTAAGGGCATGCAAAACTCAAATCAATGAAACATGCCTTCTCATTTTCTGTACTGGTAGATTGTGTCTCCTCTGAGTTGAGTCTTTGCATGATGTGCTCATTAGGATTGATTGCAGGGTCCAGATTTGACTTTGAGCTTTTGTGCGTATATTCGACATCTTTGGATTGTGACTCGGAATCCTTAGATTGTTGTGACAAATCTTGATCGTGCGTGAAGCTTGTATCGCTATCGACCCTGGACTTCTTGTGCTTAGGTTCTGGGTCAATTGCCTGGTGTTCAGTGTCGAGAAAAAGCTTCCGAGTTGAGGGCTTCAAGTTTTCTTCAAGACTCCTTTTTAACACAAGCATTCTTCACATGATACCCATGCCATGATGAATAGTCAACAATTGCAAGCTGATTAATCTTCCAGTGGTTATGACAAAGACTGAGAATTGGGTAATTAGATTCCAGTGTGTTGCTGAACCATTTGAACAAATTGTTGCTAGCTTGCATCCACAAATCTGGTAATGTTCCCTTGGATAAAAAATTTGCCCATCCAAAAATGTTTCTCGGCCTTCCTGATATCTGCCAGCATATGACTAGAGACTGGTTGGCTAAACTCGTTCTCGATAAATGGCATGGCGGCACTTTTACCTTCAACAGCTGAGGTTTTTACTTGTTTAGGCACATGTATGTCGGATACATTTGAGATGTCAATGACACTCTTTGATGAACTTGTATTCTTTGAAGCATTGGTGGCGAGTTCATTAAACCAGTCACCACGGGTCCAATACTTCACTAAAGGATATTTCTTTCTCAGGTTTTCTGACGATTGAGGTGCTTGCTCCATAGAAGGCCTGCCCACAAGTGACTTGATTGAACTTGCAAGACTGGTATGTGCTTCCCTTAAAAATACTAGATGTTGAGCATTTATTTCTCTTCAAAAAAATAAGATCGCTTACTTGAACAAATCACATTCAGCTCATGCTATGCCCAATTCTTCCTTTTGCTTGTTATATTTTTGTTCCAGGTCCTGAAAATCTTGCAGAAGGCGGAGGTAAGCAGACATGTCAGTTGTAGATAGCATACTATTGGGATAATTGCTACTGTCATTAAAATTGATTTCCAATGATGATAATGAGAAAGGGGAAATAACCTCTGAGTGGCAAATAAAGAGCTGTCATTATCTGATAGTAAGAGGCTGCTGTTATTAGACATTATAGTGGGGGTCTTGCCTTATTGATTTATGTGGAGGTGAGAGAAAGAGAAAGAAGAACTCAGTTGCGTTTGCATGACATCAAATAAGAACACCTTCCAGATTTGGACTAGTTACCATATTGGTCCACCTCCCGTAAAATCATCAAAGTCTAAATCACAACGACTCCAGTTTACCTTTTTAACTCTCATGGCCTCTACCAACCATTTTACAGCTGCTGGCAACATTAGTATAATTTGTCTGTATCCAATTACTTTACTGGCTGTGTGCTATCACCCCAAACCCCCAGTTCCCTTTTATATGGACAACAATTTGGTTCCATGAGATTGTTTTGGTCGATGGTTCTACTTGTATCCCTTGTATTGTCAAACTTGTGTCAGACTTCTTCAATGGCAAGGAGCCCATCAACCCTGACAAAGCTGTTGCCTACGGTGCTGCTTTTCAGGCCGCAATTTTTTCTGGTGACACTTCTGAGAAGACTCAGGACCTCCTCCTCAATGTGTCTCCCTTGTCGCTTGGTATTGAGACCACTGGTGGTATCATGACTGCCCTCATTAAACATAATACTACTATCCCCACCACAAAGTTGGAGACTTTCTCCACTTACTCGCCTGGTGTCCTCACCGAAGTGTACAAGGGTGAACGTGCACACAGACACATATCACACTAATTCAGTCTTATAGAATCTCTTGTTTCAAGCCCACCCATATCACATTGTAGCTAATATAATTCATGTCCTTCTATTATACAAAAAAGTGATTATTCTTCTGTATTCTCTTGAAAGTCATCCATCAATGTTACACTGAGTCCTGGCTTCTTGGCAACATAAAATCTATCCCCTACTTCATGTCCATATGGGCAGTGTGGTATTATTGCCACAACTGATTGGATTGCTTGGACAAGAACAAGCTTGAGGTGAACTGGATCCTCCTTTTTACACAATATGAGTGTATTTTAGGAGGCTTGGATGAGATGTTGATCCGGTACTGAGAATAGCGAAATAAGAGCATAGGTTGACTCATTGTTGCCATTAGAACAAAGCTGGGTAAAGTATATAACCTCAGCAAAATTAATCCTGCCGTCAATTTGAAGCTAGATGTGAAGTTAACATTATATACGCTAGGGATGAGAGACCAATGAGATGAAGCTGGGTACCTTGATATTGTGTGGTATGCATGTCTTTTCTGCACTGAACACAGAACAACAAACTTGTCCATTATGTAGATAAAGTTGAGCCCAATGAAAGATGCGTGGGGAAGTCTGTATATTGAACATTTCTTGAAATGCTGTTCCAAGTCATTGATAGTCTTCGGAGTTTGTTCCTTCTTGGGAAGGAGGATATATCCATTGCTTATATCTCTAGCACCTTTTGGGATCAACAATTTATAGGATTCTGGGTCAATTTGTGGAAACATTGCTTTAAGGAGTTGATTTGTGATCATCAAAGACCACGCTGGGACAGGTTAGTGTATGGATCAGATGGCTGAATATTTCTTGACCAAGGTTCCTTATAGTTCTTTCCATGGTCCATTAAGAGTAACAAATGGCTGAGCCAAGTCGCGTGATCTCATGTGCAATATGGAGAAGGCTGTGAATGCTTTATCAGATGAAATGGAGGCAATCTGGCCGACATTGATAGTATAGAGTCTCAAAGCCTTGTACAAAATCCAACAAAGACATATAAATATCCTTGAGGTCTTGTTGGGTAATTTGGTGTTGATTAGCAAGACAAATACCTTTGACAAGTTTACAGAAATGTTGCCAGTAGATATCATGGAGGACTGTATGGTGTCCCACACATCAAGTCCATCTTTCTGGAGGACTGCAAAGTGATGCATACCTGGAAATAAAAACAAGTCAACAATCTTTGGCTTCTTGGGACCAGGTATGAATGCACCTGGTAGCACATATTTCTTCTCATAGCGTAGATCTGGGGAATGGTTCAAAATGACCCATATATAGATACAACAGTTAAAAAGTTTGCTTTTGTATAGCTGAGCACCGTCAAGAGATAGCATGAGTACTGTGTCTTTGTTTTGTATTTTTCCATCGGCTACTGCTTGAAGATTGTCTGTGCCAGTGAATAAATCATTGTAGTATGGCATTTCCCCATTATTTTGCGCAAGTTTTTCTATAATTTGCTGCGTGTGGATCCCTCGGTACTTCATGCTAGTAGCACTTTTTTCATCTCTCCATAATGCCTGGATTTGCAGCCCTATTGGTATTGTGTGGAACTTGTGCTAGGATTCTTTGATCTGTCCCCCACTTGCCTGGAATTTGTTCTGATCATATCTAGGTTCTCCACACTTCGGACAGATGTCCAGTTCAGAGTAGGGTCCGGTATATGCGAGACATGTGTTTATACACATGTCATTCTTGATGGAGTTGACGCCAGTGATTTTTCTAATGCACCATTTGACTTGATATTGAGACAGTAATGGTAAGTTCGGGATCTCCTCTGTGAGAACATCCCAAACTCATCATAAGCCTTGTCTGAGAAATTTGATAGCCTTAAAATCATCTTAATAGATATCCTCAGTGACGGATCATCCAAAAGGGGAACTTCTGATGGTGCATTTCGCAGCCATGCTAGTGTTTCATTGTCAAAAGACCTTCGGGTGTACTGGTCACCAAGGGAGGCTTGTTCCATGGCCTTGATAAATGCCAAGGTTGTTTTGAGATCATCGAGTTGAGCTAATTGATCAAAGTCGTCGGCAGTTTGAGGTATTTCTCTGTCAGGTGATGGACTAGGGTGTCGGTCATTCTCATGTGCTTGATCATCATGTGTATTGACCTTAAAAATGTGAAATATGTTAGCTAGTGAGTTAAATTCAATATTGAAGGGTGCTTACAGCATTATTATTGTTGTTCTGAATAAAAGGAGGCGTGATTTGACAATCCATATCTTGGCCTGTTATGTTCCTATCATTGTCTATGATTGGAAGATCCATATCTTCATCTTGGTCCACAGGCAGGTCTTTGTCTGGTTAAAAATTTGGCTGGTAATTTGGTGGAGTTAATGCCCGAGTATCCAAAGGACCAGCTTGTGGATGTTCATCATGGGGTCTGGTGAGTTGAGTAAATTTGCTGATGCCTTTCTTTCTCTGAGCTGCTTGATGTCGATACCAGGTGGATGAAGAGACTTTTCAAGAGGATATTCCATCGCTTTTCCACTTGCAGACATTGCAGTTGCACAAAATGAGGTCAAGAGATTCTGATAGTTTAGACATAGAATGGTGTAACAGAAATTTATAGAGCAAGGGAGCCAGTATATAGGAACAGGTGGTGCAACCGTGTAACCAGATATATATAATAAAATGGACAATGTTGCACGCATACAACGTAAAAGGCGTGAACGACTGTGCAGAACACAATGTAGCAAAATTATGATCAAGTTGTCCAGATTTTGCATTTTGAATCATGTGACATTTCGCCATTTGAGATTTTTCTCAATTCCTACTTACTTTTAAGAATTTCCTGATTTTTCTATATTTCTCATGATACTTGTACTAGGTTCTTGAGCTTTCAATTTTTCTCTCAATTTGTGGAATGCGAGTTTTCACTGGGCTTGAGATTGAGGAGAATTTTCACCCTGCAAAATGTGATTGAAATTTGTAACCTAAATGTCATATTTATATAACCATTTTACTTACCAGAAAGTTTATGTTTGCCATCAACAGAAAAATCCATAGGTAATTGTAATGAATATTTAATCCTCTACAAAAGCAGAAATGTTGTCTAGGGCGCAATAGGCCAATGGATTTCTTTAGTCAAGGGTGGGACATTGAATGAACTCCCAAAACTTGATGAACTGGATCATAGTGCATAAATCTGTCCACTGGCTATTTAGACCATCCGCTAGGACCTGCCTCTTCTTCGAGTTATGCTGTTGTTTTTCTCTCCTCAGCCTTGAGAATTTTGGGGTCATCTATATGGAGTCACTAGTTATTGCTGTCCTCAAATTGAGCAGGCTATGAAATTTCATCATAAGCAGGGTAAATGGAACACTCAAAATATGACATAAGCAGACTGAATATAGATGACATTTTTCCTAGTTTTCTTCTAGTCTGGTCTAAATTAAGGACTTTTGGCAGGAACTATTACAACCAAAGTTTGAATACTCTGGCGCACACAGTGACAAGCAAAGAGGAGGATGGAGGAGTGGATAAACCCCTTATGATAGGACCAAGTTAGTTGTGGGTATACAACAAGAGAACTCGCTGAGGAATCTCCTGGATCTATTGGGGTATTTATACCATTATAGGTTTGTTTGTATATGTTATATTATACAGTTGATAAGACAGTGGCTGATGATGTCATAGGGTGCAACCCGTGTGACCAGCTCTACTGTGTGAGAGACTTGTATCTAAAAATCAGGGAAGGCAGCACAGCGCGAGAAAGTGGGGTTTGAACAAAAGGAAAGTGCCGCATGGCACAATTGTGTGGAAACTGAAAAAAAAGGTTGAAGCGGAGAATGATGGTTAAAGGTCCCAAAATTGTGTACAGTAACAGGAACCCCCCACTTTTGTAGTAATAGAAAAGGCACCAGTGGATTACCTGAGCAGCACATTTGGCTTAAACTTGGCATTTCATGGCCAGTCACACCAGGAAAAAGCACATAAAGATTTCAGCTAAAACAGGTACTGTAAAGGAAAAATGTTATGTACATCACTCCTAGTATTGTATCACAACTGCAACAATTTACGTAGCACCTTAGACCAAATGGTCTTACTGCGGTGCAGACCTTATCATAAACTAGAATATACAAGAGGAGGGGACTGTTGCTTACCTCGGCAATGCTCATGTGATTTCCCATGTGGGATCCCTTTCATGGCCCTCTAACTCTGAGCTGAGTACAAAATAGGAGCTCAGAGCGGACCTTGGATAGAGTGGCTGAGACAGAGTGGTGGTACCAATGAACAAAAGAGACAGGGGTACTGCAGGCACCCTAGAGAGTAGTGAAGAGGGGAAGGTGTTGAAGATGCCTGACCAAAGTAGACTGGGGCAAGCATCCTAGAGAGTAGTTCAGAGAGGGGGTTGTACCAAAGATGCCAGACTAAAGTGGACTGGGGGTGCCACAGGCATCCTAGAGAGTAGTATAGGGAAACACAAAGAGGGAGGGTGCAAAAGGCACCTGACCAAAGTGGACACAGGTGCCACAGGCGCTCTAGAGAGTGGTACAGTGAAATACATAGAGGAAAAGTGTCAATGGCACTCAACCAAAGTAGATACAGGTGCTACAGGCATCCTAGAGAATAGTATAGTGAGGGAAAATCTCCAATTTATATCCGGACACGAAGCGCCAAAAAGTGTGAGGGCCCGTTTTGGAACAAGCTGACACGTCCAGCGACACACTTCATTTTGAAAAAAGCCTGTCACACTATGTAAAAGTGTTACACTTGGTGACAAACCAGAAAATTGCTATCTCTTCTCACTTGACATGAATTATTTGGATTTTTTGTTTCAGAGAAAAGCTGAACTCGGTAAATACAAATATAATTCTGTGAGAAGAAGTAAAGAAAATGGTGCCATGTAAGATGGGATAGATTTTTTGTGGCAAAGATGACAAAAATTCAAGTTGGTGATTTGCCTTGTCATGCCAGTGGTCACAGGCCAAGTCACATCATGTGATGGTGTCGGTTGTGGATGACGCTTACCTTACTTAATCTACAATCCTGAAATGCGCGTAACATGAACATGGTGTGACATAGTGTGAGCAATGTTGTTTGCACTGAGAGTCGTTCAAAACGAGCATATTTGCAACTGGCTCTCATTTTCAAATGGAGGTTGCTGAATGGGCCATGATATTTTCATGAGGGGTTGGCACAAACATGTAAGGAATCAATTTTTCTATTGCATTTCCATCATGTCATGGTTATCCAACCCCCTTCCTGTCACCCCTCTTGCCATTAGATTAGAAGTCACAGCCAGTACTCTCTTGCTTTTATCTTTCTTCTTCCTATTTTCTTTCACACTTGTATTTTATCATATTTACAACATAGGAGATTCCTCTCCTATCCCCAAGAAGATATGCCAGTGGCATAGCACTGATCAAGAGCCATGTGCAGGAATACTTTGGCAAGAGATTAATCAGCAAAACAAACTGTGACTCAGCACTTTCCCATGGGTTTGCTGATCCAGCCAATTGTACATCCCTTACTAAGGACTTCTCCCACACAATTAGTAATTATGATAGATCATACTGTTCCTTCCCTTTTCTTATTGGCTAACTGTTTAATCAGACCACTCTGTTATTCTTTCCCCCTTTCGGTCTGACCTCTGTTGTTCATTATATAAGGAGTAAATATTCAATGTATTATTCCTCAGTTCAATATTAGTTTGGATTTGCATTTATACTGTTACTCTTCAACATCAATACTCTGATCCACTGGCCTTCTGCAAGGACTTGGCGAGACATTTGTCATTGTTATATAGATATAGCTTTGTATTCATTACTTGACAAAACAGGGGTCCTGGAGAGAAAGCGGTAGGCTTATACTCAGCCATTTGTTTGCTTGTGTTCATTGTCTATCAATATAGCTCATATGAGCTAATTTACAGTCTCAGCACTGCGAACAGGCTGGGATTGCTTGTTGCCATTTTGTGAGGCGGATGAAATCCTCACCAAAGATGACTAGGGGACTTTGACTGAGGGCTTGGAAAAATGTCAAAAATAGGTGTTTAAGTTAGTATACAGAAAATCATGTTTCATATAAAACAATTTTTTGCAAAAATTTTGGAGTTGTTGCCATCACTAATGACCACTACAATCTTGAGCTGAAAACATATGAAAAAAAGTATATATACAAAATTTCTGCTTGTTACAAGAATCATTTTCTGTATACTAACTTGAATACCTATTTTTGACATTTTTTCAAGCCCTCAGTCAAATTCCCCTAGTCATCTTTGGTGAGGATTTCATCTGCCTCACAAAATGGAGACGAGTGATCCCAGCCATTAGTATTGTCGAGAGACAATTTTAGCTAGGTTAATCAAAATTTTACCCAGGAATGGCTGGGGACGAGCCTAAGAGAGCAGCTTCTTGTTTACAATGGAGAATGAAAATAACAATGCCAAAGCTCGGAAGGAACAGACCACTATCAGTTGACAATGAGGAGAATTTTGGCTCTCCAAAATTTCTTTCAAAATGCATTAGAAAACATTTTGGTCTTTGCAAATATAAATTTTCCTCTTGCCTCAAAGGCTTGTTGTACATAGATTATTTCAGTGGTCCTTTTAGCAATAAATTAAATTTCTTATTTTCATCAGTCTCAAACATCCATTGTGAACTACCTGATTTCCAGGGCAATTTTACTATACCTGGAATTAGATATTTTAATCCCTCTTCAATGAGAATTAACAGGTCCTAGTTGAGTTAACATTTAAAAGGGAGTAAAATGTGTATTTTTGTGTGACTCGCAAATGGAGGTAGAAAATATCCAATCTTGTTCAGCATTAAAGATATTGCCCATTGGTCACCCAATGGTCACCTGACAATCACCTGATCACTGCCCACTAGCTTCCTGTCAATCACCCTGCAATGGCACACTCAAGGGGCAAGCACTTATGTTAATGAATTTGAATATTCTATAAAATGATTGCTATACAATATATTAATAATACTTCAACCCGGGCATATTATTAGAGTAGGATAGTATTCAAGTATTTAGCATTGTAGACCTGCCACTAAACATCCATACTATTTAATACTTGAGAGACTATTGTGAAACAATTGTGTAAGGCATTCCTGCAAGATGTATCAGGTACATGGGATAATCTAGCTATCCATCTATCAGGGTGGTACTTCAACCACATATCTCTCACCATCTTTGTGAAACTGTTTGACATAAGCTGAAGGGTGCTTGTGTGAGTGAAAAAAGCTTCAACAGGATACCATTGAACATTGTGAGGTGTTATAGAGTTAGGGTGTTTAAGGATAGGCCAAGGAATTTCTTCTGCCAAGGGTAATGTCTCCAAAGCAGTGACAAATTTCCGTATCTCGATGAAACACATTAAGGCATGCAACTCATTTCATGCACCATTGAGGCCCCCCTGTAGCACTTTTTGTTTCTTAGCCTTGAGCTGTTGTTTCCTGTTAAGTTCCTCCAATGCTAGGAGATCTTGCTCCTGCTGTTGTTGAATTTGAGCACGACTTTGCTTAAGTTCTTCTTGCACATTAGCAGCCATAGACTCTTCTATGACCTTGGCAGCATTCAGTTTTGACTGATTGACCTCCATTTTGTCCCATCATGAGTTTTGGATCTTTTTCAAACAGTGATGCCATTTAGAAGCATCTTGAGATAGCTTACTGTGTATGTCACTAGGAGAGAGGTTACAAGCACATTTATTATTGAAAGCCATGAATGTGCCTTTCAAATTTCTTTTATCACTGTGATCCATGTTGAGAGTGTTCTCAGCATCAAATACTAGTTGTTACAATACACAATTTTTGGACCTTTAAATCTCATTTTCCTCTTTTAACTTTCTTCTGTAGTTTTCACACACTGTGCCATGCGGCACTTTCCATTTTGTTCAAACTCCACCTTCTACTAGATACTTGCTGCTGCATGTGCTAGAGGAAGAGCCATCTGAATGGCTCATTTCATTATTACGCTCATCCTCAGACTCCTCGAATTGCTACCAAACACCTCTCTCTCCTCACCATCTCTTTTGTTCAAGATATGAAGCTGTCCAACTAGCTGAGAAATCATTTCTCGCAATAAGCATTTGTTGCTGTCTTTTCCAACCATGTTGCATGCCTACAAGTCATCAATTGTCATTCCAAATGCCCATAGAGCGTTGTACAGGAAATAGCGGATGCAAGGGGTGAGATACTTGCCTTGGAAACTTTCTATTTGGTTGCCGCCGATATCCTTTGCATAGATCGACCCCCACAGGTATAGGTCAAACAATGAGGCGTCTTTGGGACATCCGCAATGGAGATATTTAGGCGCAACTGTCTTGATTCCGTCATCCTATTTCATGTTCAGATTTTGTGGCACTGGTGTCCCCGACACTTTGTATCACTCTTGAACTTCATTTGCCTTTGTTCCAGTCTTGTTGATTTTGTGGTGATATAGACATACAGTGTTTCCACCACTGGTGGTTAGGACATGCAGAGCAAGCACACGGCTGATCACACCAGCTTCAGGCAAGTGGTCAGCATTGTCTCTGATGTGTCTGCAAATGTCATGTGTAATTTTCCCTTTTTGTGGGTTCTGCAGGAACTTTCTGATCTGCTCTTTACCCTTGGCCTCTTTTTTTAAACAAGTAGGTCAGTTACCACTCTCAACCGCTAGTTTTTTACCTCTGCTTACTGGCTTTCTCCATCTCCCGATCTTGATCATTTGCACCATCTGTCTTGTCCTCCTTCTTGTTGTTACCCCCTGACCTTTGTCTTTTTCCTTCTAGGTTTTTGAGTCTTCTCCACCACCTGATTGTCCCCCTCCTCATCACCCCCCTTCTCATCAATAGCTTGTTTGCTTTTCTCCACCACCTCATCCTCACTCTTCTCATTGTCATCCAACAACTCATATGTGTCAACTAACTTTCTCTTGTTGCTGTTTTGCTTGTCACTGACCACGCTCTGATTTGCAATCTTGGGACTAATCTATACCACATAATCATGAACAGCGGTTTCAT